TGCCCCTTCTTGGATAACGGTGAGCCAAGAAAAAGGTTTTCCTTGGACCTCTGTCCTGTAACCTGTTTTTGAAGTTCTTGGGCTTTTTGAATTTTGATCGGCCAGCCAGTGCATATGTAAGCATGATAGATAGATAGATATAGATTGATAAGGGTAAGAGGAACCCAGATACTGGTAGATTTCTTCTGGGACACCTTTTTGCCAGCGAGTGTCCTAGGGGTCAGGGATGTTGATCCAAAAAGTACTGTTATGATGGTTACCAGTGAGATGATACTTTTGTTTCCGCTTTCCTTCCAGATCCATTTGGTATTTGTGCAGGAATTCCATGAGCAACCTCCATTTTCTTTGACCTATTTAGTGCTCAACCCCTAGATTTGGTTTGGTCCGTACAGGAAACAAAGGAGGGGGTGGGACCATATTGGGGGAGTGCAGTGAAAGATTTTACAGGAACCAGCACCAGAGATTGGCAGCCTTCAGGCTGACAATACTTTTTTCCTATAACCTGCTAATGGGTTCCCGAATCATCAGCCCAGTTTTCAGTAACTATGAACTGCCATCGGTGGCTGGGTGACTGCATTTCCATATTTACGGAAGCCAACACCAGTTTGACTGCCGATGGGGTGGTATGTATGACAGTGTATGTTTTTTTTCACCATGGCTGGAGTCCAGGGCCAGGTGCGGGACCAGTTTTTACTCGGACCTGGTTTCCTGGGGAGAAGGGTCCGCACCAGTTTTAAGCAGGGCTGGGCACTGTGCCACTGCTGGAGTGACCACCGTTTGTTTGTTTTTTTTCTACGCCTGGAGCACCCCTGCTCGGCCCCGACCCCATGGTCCTCTCCACCCCTGCCCGCTCCCACGTGACGGGGGTTGGGGATGCCCACGTTGGGACGCGGTGGGCGGCGGGCTAGGGGAGGAATCCGTCGAGGGGCCTGGGCCCGACAGGGGTGCAAGCACCAGGGGAGCCGGCGGCAGCGGCGGCAGTGATTTTAGAAGCGACCCTTCCTGCTTCATGCCCCAGTCCTTACAGCCAATCCTTATTCTGAAGTTACGGATTCAGCTTGCCAACTTCCGTTACCTATATTGCTTCAACATGCCAGAGGCTGTTCACCTGGGAGACCTTGGATTTGGGTCCGGTCTGGCGCGAGATTTAAACTCTTTTCCCTGGATTTCAAGGGCCAACGAGAGCTTACCGGACGCCACTGGAACTGCGACTCTTTTCGATTTGGGACAGGTCTTGGAGAGAAAACGGACCGACCGTGGACCCGTAGCACACCCTCAGCCCCTGCTGCTTCCCTAAGGGGCAGGGCGCGGGAACGAGGATGCGCTGACACAGGGAGGGGCGAAATGGGCGGGACCGGAGCGGAGGGTTGGGCTGTCCAGCAGCCCAGGGGGAGTGGCTGTGCATAGGGCGGCAGAGGCTGGGAGGGAGGAGGAGGATTAGGAATCGGTTGAGGCGAGAGCCCAGGAGTGTCTGGCTTTTCAGTAAGCGCAGAGGACGGGTGCTAGGGTATGGTAGGGAGAGTTGGGGTTATTTTCAAGTTTTGTTTTCGCTGCCATACTCCTTTCAGTTGATTTAGCTAAAAGGACCTGTGAGGTGGAACACTGGACGCATAGAGACGGGCGGGCTCGGAGATTCCAGAAAACCTGAACGTACGGAACCGCTGACCGTTTTCCCGAGCGGCTGCAAAAATTGTTTACGTCGGTGAAGATGCCAAAATTAAAAGTGCTTTCGGAGGGCCACCTAGACTGATTGTCTAAGGGGCATTGAGGCCACTTGGTGGTACACAGAAAGACCAGCCTTTTTTACGGAGGCGTTGGGAGATTTTAATTTGGAGAAATTTAGGAGGAGACAGCTCAAGGGGGTCTTAGGATTAGTTTTGGACTCAGTATTTCCCATGATGCCCCAGCACCCCGGAGAGTTATCCCCTAAGACAAGGCATCCCCCGAGTTAGAGGAAACTCTAAACGGAGGTGGTCCCCTGCTAGTGAGGTGTCTCTCAGGTCACAGAGTCCCGAACGGAAGCAGAAACCCATCCATGGCGCCGTGACACAGGACAGGTGTAGGCTCAGACAGAGAGGTGGCAGGGCAGGACTTACCGGAGTCCAAAACTGATCACGCATTCTCGACCGCTGCGGTTCGGTTGTAGAAGAGTCCCATGGTGTTGGGGGCGCGGGGGTTTCGGCACCAATGTAAGGTAGTTGAGAGGCGCCAGAAACCAAATCAGTCGAATTAGAACAAACAGGCTTTATTAGGGAGACAAACCCAGACTGGGCAAAGTCCCACAGTCCACAACGTCCAGGCTCGGGGAGTCACACTGCAGGCTACAGGAGTGATGCTGATATATGGACAGGTATGTCTGGGTTTCTGGAATGTAAGGTGTCTTCCTGGTTTGGGGTGTACTTGTGCCGGGTGCAGAGTGGTGGGCAAGAACAAGGCAGGCACTGAGCTAAACAGGCCGTCCTGCGTGCAGAGTGGAGGGTCGAGAGAAAAGTGGGCACTGAGCCAAACTGGCAGTGAGCAAAACGGGCCGTGAGCAAACTGGGCCATGAGCAAAACAGGCCGTGAGTAAAACAAAGAAAAAAACCTGCAAAGCTGCTAACAGGTTACATAGCCAGCTGTGGTCAGCTCTGCAGGTGTGTGTGAGATTCAAGGCCACTTGCTGCTAGTTGTTTCAGCCAGCTGTGGTCAGCTCTGCATGGGTGGGAGAGATTCAAGGTCACTTGCTGCTAGGAGCCGGCCTGGTATTGATCCGGCCATACATTCCCAACTCTTTGGTGATATGGGCGACAACTTTTCTGGCTACTTCCTGGGGGTACTGGGATAGCGTGGGAGGGGCTTATGGGTTGGGAATGCTTGGCTCCTGTGGGAGAGGACTATAAGGGTGCAATAACATTTGATTAACGGCAACACGTGCCTGCGCAGTCTTGGAAACCCCATGGGGTTCCCGTCTGTTTTAGAGGGTCCCTATAGGTTGAAATGAACTCTGTGGTAATGGGTTTGGTATGAGATTTTTATAAAGCCAATCAAAAAAGGAAAAGCCAACCCCATCGAATTATTTTCAGCTCCTAGAGATCCAGGCAGGATTTCTGAGGCTGTAAATCTTTGGAGCGTCCGAAAGATTATTTGTAACAAACTAGATTCATGCGACTGATTTTTGAATGACAGCAGGATCACAGCTTTCCTATGTATTTTATGAAATCAAGGCACAAAGGGCTAAGCACTGATCGGCGTGAACTATACTTTCATTTTTGTCACCAGCAGATGGATGATAGCAGACATTTGCTAAGGCATCAGAAGATCAAGATGGACTGTCCTAGAGACAGCTATGCTACAATGTAATTTGAACTTTCAAAAGTATTTCAACTACCCTTTGAGTAATCGTATAGACTATTTTCAGTAGGTGTTAGCCTGTGTAACCATAAAAATCAAAATGTCCCAGGAAAATTCAAAAGACGGTTCAGTCACGTTTAACTCACCCACCCCAGTACCAGTTCTGCATTAGTCAGTCAGCCCGGCTTCTCTCTGCAGCCAATGGGGTGACGTAACTCTCACTGCCAGGGAGGACATTTCCTCTCATAGCAACCTCACAGGACAGGCAGGAGCTGCCCTGTGGGTTTCAGACACTGAAAGTCCATTTTATTTCTAATACAGAAGGCACACCTATTTGAATTGTATAAGAAGCATTAAAATTGCGCCTTGCATCTCGATAGATGTAGCGATTGTTCCCATCACTACAGATGCCTCTGATCACTTTCATTTTATTCATTACTTAATAAAGCCTCACCTTTTCCCCAAGGAGCATCTGGTTTCAAACTGCTGACCAACGGGTCACCACTAAGCCGCCCAGAGACGAGGGGACCGCAGAAAGGAATTGCTTAGGTTTCTTTTCTGCACTCTAAGGAACCCCTGTGGCCAAGTTGAGTATGCCTTGTTCGTTCATCGCAAGGTTAGCGGTTTGAACCCACCGGACACTCTCCAATCCCTGGGAGAAAGCTGGAGCTCTGCGCCCGTGTGAAACCCTGAGGAGCCGTTCTGCTCTGCCCTGTGAGGGTCACTGTGCATCCGAATGGCCTGGGTTGGCAGTGAGGGCAGTGCTGGGGCTCAGTGCCCCACTCCGTTTGCTCTCTAATGCATTCATTGGCAGTGGTGGGGGGATGGGAGAAGGACGTTCTCTCAGAGAAATAATAACTTGACCTCCACAATCTGCACTGTGGCTGAATACAGAACAGCCAGTCCCACCTGAAGACCCTCTTTCTAAGGCCTTGCTTCCCCCGGAACAGAAATGTGTGTCAGACACAGGGGAGAAAATACGAGTGACCTTGAGTTTGGCTGAATCCATAACAGAAAACAAGAGCTGCTACGCTGGATGGCATTAAGTTGAGAAACATCTGTGCTTTGAGCGAGAGAAATGGGTATCACTTGCAGCCCGAAGGTGGGGGAATAAGATCTGGATGGAGCAAGAAAGGAATTCGTGGTTAGTGTTTTGGTTGGTGTCCAGGGGCGTTGGCACTGGCTCTCACGGCAGGGGAGAAGGGACAGGAGAATAATTGGCCCATCTCAGGGTGACCAGATGGTGGAGGGCCACCTGGGAGGGTGTCACTGTGAAAGAGCCTGCTTCACATCTGAGCCACAGGTAGACTCTCAGGTAGGTATGTTTTAGGCAAGACTGCAGATACACTGGAAATGGAGCCCCTTACCTGCACCCCTTTAGGAAGGGAGGCTCTGTGTGCCCTAGGCCTACCTGGGCTTCCGTTTGAAGACCACCACCCTTTGGCTCATGGCTCAGAATGAGCCTGAGCTGCCCAGGAGCATGCACCGACCTGAATGATCCTGGTGGTAACACATGCTCCTCTCTCTTGCCCCATACAAGGTACGAGGTGGAGATTAACAGACGGACAGCCGCTGAGAATGAATTTGTGGTGCTCAAAAAGGTATGTGGGGAACAGGAATGGTCCTCAAAGTCCAGGGGGGTTCCCAAGCGGACAGCACGGTGATGCCTGTAGGACAAGAAGGGGCTTGCTGGCCTAACTCAGTCCTTTGGGGACAAGTGGCTGGGTTTCACATGCCCCACATCCTCCTTCCAAGTCCTGGCCTGGCATGCCCGCTGCTCCCAGCACCTGCTCCCAGCGAGTCTGCGACCCTGCTGGTGCAGCTGTGTGCACCAGACATGCTAGTCGGTTTGCTGGATGGTTCTCGTGGGGGCCAGGCCCTCCCCTGTGACCCATGGGACGGGGGAAATGGAGAGAGCTGTTTGCACTTGGCTCTCACGGCAGGGGAGAGGGGACAGGAGGGTACCTGGCTCATCTCAGGGTGACCTAACTACCGTGTCCCCCCCACCCCCCACCGAGGATGTGGACGCAGCTTACACCAACAAAGTTGAACTCCAGGCCAAAGTGGACTCCTTGACAAATGAGATCAAATTCTTCAAGTGCCTCTACGAAGGGGTAAGGCATCGCTGACTCTTCTTTGGGGGTGGGGGTCTGCTCCTCTCATAAGTGGCTCTGGCCCTTGCCTGAAGCCTGCCTGGTTCGGTGGGCTCCAGGTTGGGAGAGAGGGGCCGTTCAGTGTAGTGGAAATTCATCAACTGTGGGCCGAGCATTCAGCGAGACTCTGGAGGAGACCACGGTGGAGAAGAAATGATTGGTGTGCTCAGGGGCTCCGGGGGTGACGTCAGGGAACGAACAGGCTGCTGGGTCCTGGGAGAGCCAAGGACGGCCTGGTGCCTTCGGCTGAGCTGGCAGGCAAGGTTCCTGGAGCAAGAAACGTCCGGAAGCTGAAGAAGGCTTCAGTGGAGGTGGGGGACTGGCGTTCCAGGCTGAGGGAGCCACACACGGGATGGCTCTGAAGTCCGAGAGGTGCCAGACTCCAAGGGGCTTGAGATGCCAGGGACGGAGAAGGTCACCAGGGCTCTGGGTGCCTCAGCAGGGTCAGACTTGAGTCTGCGGGTGAAGCAGAGTCCTTGTGGATTTCTGAGAAAGAGAATGAGAAGCAGGGGTGGCCCAGGACAGAGAGGGGCGGCCCATCGACTGCAGCTGAAAGCCCCAGGTCTCCCTCCTCA